GACATAGATCTGGGATCCTACAATTGTTTTAAGATCTGGCTAAAGCAAAAAATGCTCACAAGTTGTAAAGTGAAAAATGAATGGGGATGTGTAAACTGAATGTGTGTCATGACCTCATCTCTCTGCCTCTCTCTCTAGTTGATTAATAATAAACAGACTGATTAAAATTAATCAGCAATTATTCTCATAATTGATTAATTGGTGAAGTAATTTCTTTGAGCAAAATAAAAAAAAATAATAAAATAAAATAAAATAAAAGCTTCAGTTCTGGCTCCCAATCTGAAAGTTTTAAACTAACAATACATTAAAATATCTTTGGGTTTTTTACTTGGCAAAATAATGCCTCTCAATCTATTGTTCACATTTTTTGATCAATCGATTAATGGAATAATTGAGAAAATAACTTTTAGCTGAAGATGAAAATCATCTACATTAGGGAACTACAATAAAATAGAAAGCCATTATTGTTATTGTAAGTGTTAGGTATTTTTAGACAGATAGAAATTGGATAGATACTTTATGTATTAGAAATGTTTAGTGGAGATAGGATGTCTAGTTAGACTGTTAAATGCTTAGTCATGCTTATGAGTTTCTACAGGGTACATCTGGTCAAGGATAACTAGAGAGAAGAGTTGATGACTGTCAGCAGACAGGGTGTTTAATATTATTATTATGACGTGTAGAACTGTAGCCTTAGCCATAATATGTTCTTATGTTTAAGTCACGACATGTTACTAGAAGTCTGTGAGAATGTTTTTAGCTACACACCACTTAATCAACAGACACACACACATTGATTTGCTTCATGTTTTGACTACTGCTATGACCAGCTGCAAAGCTGGTAACAGAGACGTCTCGGTTGACGTTTCTGTGTAGTATGGGGCTAGCCCCACCGAGGGGATATAATGTATAGGCCTGGTGGGTTCAGGGTCTTTCATCTTACATCTGCCTGCGAGCAGTTTGGAGGTGCAAGATACCTGAGCGTGTAATGTTAATTTTACCTGTGATCCTTTGAATAAATCAGCACTGTTTTGAAGTTACTTGGACTGGCTCGTCTCTCAGAGTTAGTTAGCAATGGTAACAAGAACCAAAGACCAACATAAGCAACAGGAAACAACGAAATTTAGGAGCGCTGCTCCACTTGGTGCATCTGGGTCAGAGTAATACAGCACATCAAAGTAAAGGAAAACAGGTACTATGCCTAAAAAAATAATTAAACTGGAAAAAACATATGAAGTACCAATTGGAAAAAAAGTCTTTCATTACATGACTGAGTTTAGAATATGTACGGCTTCAGGTGAAAAGCTGTTCTTGAGGCTGGAGGGGTGTGATTTTACAGACCTGCGCTGCTTGCGAGAGGGTAACAGTTCAAAGGGATGCTAGTGGCTCTACAAAGGTAGCAGGAACTTGTGATGTCTGCCAGTGAAGGAGCAGCCGATGATGTTGTGTGCAGTATTTATTATATGCTGTAGCCTTCCTGTCTGCAACAAAGCATCCCCAATACCACGCTGCAATGCAGTACGTCAGGATATTCTCAATAGCTGCATGATAGTTTCTTTGAGGTTATTTTTCATGAGCATTCTCAGGAAACCATGCCTCTGTGAGCTTTCTCAACCGTCAAAGCAGAATGAGCAGCCCAGGAGGGGTCGTCTGAGATAAAGGTGTCTAGGAATTTAAAGGTGCGCACCCTTTGTACACAGTCTCCACTTATGTAGATGGGGGCTGGCTTGATGCTCCACTTCCTTCTGAAGTCCAAAGTCCAAAATGAGTTCTTTGGTTTTTGTCATGTAGTGTGTCCCGTTATTTGCTGAACACCACTCTGTCAGTTTTTGAATTTCATTCCTGTATGCCAACTCATATCATCCACAAATTTAATGGAGTTAGAGGGATGGGTAGATATGCAATTGTAAGTGTACAATGAGCACAATGTCGGGCTTAGCACAGAGCCCTGTGGTGTGCCAGCGCTGAGGGCGATGGTGGAGGACCTGGATGCCAAGTTTGACAGACTGTTGTTGATTTGTAAGAAAATCTTTTATCCAGAAGCAAATGGATGAGGAGAGGCTGAGGGTGTGTAGCTTATTAAACAAGATGCGTGGAATGATTGTGTTAAATACTGAATAGCTATGAAAAGCTTCCTCATATAGGTACCCCGGTGTTCAAGGTGAAGTAATGCAATGTGAATGGCAATGGCGTCTTCTGTGGATCTGCTGGGCCACTATGCAAACTAGAGCTAAAGTGCTAGGTTAATTGATCAGAAAGTCGAATGACAGAAAATGTGTCACATTTATTTAATAACTGACTACCTGCGTAAATCATTTTTAAGCAGAAGGGGTTGGCAATGAAAGGTTCTGAAAGGTATCACAAGTGTGACTATCCTCTTTGTTTCCTTGTCTTGTATTTTAGTAACAATTACATTTTAGTAATTTTTGAACTGGGGGTCAGATAAACCAAGGCATTTGAAAACACCTTTAGATTTTCATCTGTGGTTCCTGATGTTTTGTAAACCAAACAATTATTTGCGTAATCAATAATTAATCAGCAGATTAATCAACATTGATAGTAACTTTTTGTTGTAAAAGCTGAACAACAACCTCCACAGTCCAACTAAGTGTCAACTGGCAGCACTACTATTATGCACCAATATTACAGCTACACTGCTTCTAAAAGTTTTACGAGTCTTTTTCCAAACAATTTCTAACCTTAAAAGCAGAAATTTGGGAAATTGTTCCATTTGCCTGAGCACCTGAGTAGTTTCTTGCTTTAAATGTACCAGGTTTCACTTTAATGACCGTCGATGATGATGATGGAAGAAATAAGGATGGAGGGAAGGAAAGGAAACAAGGAGGGCTGTTGTTAACTCTGAAACACTGGTTCTTAATCTCATTATGCCAATTGTCTACGGGAGAGAATCAGAGTGGGATCTGCAGGAATTATACGTTGGGGTCGTACATAATGAACTCTATGTAATCCCCCTACTTGCAATCAAAGGCTGCCAGAGTGTACCAGCCAGCCAGCACACACCTGTAGACACACACGCGCTCTCTCCTTATGCCTTTTAAAGAGCGCTGCCACTGAAAGCCACAGACAAGCCTGACAGTCATCGTTTTGAAATGAGCAGCTGCAATTGAGTGTTAACAGCAAGCAGAGTGCCAAATTACACAGAGTGGGGGATTAACGCAGAAACAGACAGATGAATGAACAGAGGAGCTTGGGGGAGTGGGAGAAAGAGAAACTGTCGAAGTGAGGAGAAGTGCTCTGTAATGAATGAGAGGCAAGTGGAGGATTTGGCTTAGAGCAATAGGGTCTGTAAATTAATGTGGTACTGTAAAAAAAAAAAAAAAAAAGCTAAAAGTGTGGGAGGGATTCACAAACCAGAAAGATGCTACAGCACCACACAGTGGGGAAAAAAATAAAGCCAGTTAGCCAGTTACAACACATACAGGACCAGTGCAAAGTCTGGATACGCCTTCTCACTCAATGCTTATTCTTTGTTTCTGTTGTTTTCTACATTGCAGAATAATACTGAAGCCATCAAAACTATGAAGCATATGGAATTACTGTATGTATGCAAAAAGTGTAAACAAAGCAAAAGTGTTTAATATTCAGGGGTCTTTGGAATTAAAGTACACCGTTTTCTTTGACAACCATCAGGAGGAGGGTGCCTGGAATTGTTTTCACAACATGTGTTGCTTATCAGTTATTTGGTGATACATCGTGCCTTCATAGTGCAGTAGATAGAGATTTGGGGAAAACTGTCAGTCTACAACTGAGGTGCATGACTGACTCTGAAATGTGCAATCAACACTCTCAAAATGCACACGACCTTAGGCAACCCATTGCTGAGGGGTGGGGTGGCTTTTACCCTGGTTTATCTAGAATATTTCTAAAATCCCAGGGTCTTGTACCATCAGTTTTCACACAGCAGCAATTGCCTCCTATAAGTCATTACTAGACATGCATCAAAAAGGATCGGGGGGGGGTTCTTACTTACTTTTTCAAAAATTTGTGCAAGGCAACAAACTTATGCACAGAGGAATTCCATCACATGCCTAACAAGTAAAACTGTCTTTGAAAAATGAAAGGTATATGGCTTACAATAGGAATCATACTGCATTTAAAGCCTTTAACACACTTAGTGTTATTGTTTTATGGCTAAATTGAGAATTAAAAAAAAATGCTGCTTATATTTATTATTATTTTGTGCACCTCAGAAAGACTAGCAACTGCTTTGTGGACGCTAATGGAAATCTGAATAAAAACTAAAATGAAAAAGACATCATCAGTTTTGCTGTGCCGAGGTACAGTAGTGCTGGTGTTAGGAATGTAACAATACCAAAAACTCACAGTACAATAATATGATGATAACGTATGTGCAAGAATCAGAGGGGTGTGATAGTGCACAGTAAAGTCATGGGGCAAAGGCCATGGAAAAGTCAACCTGTCAGGTTGGTGGCTTGTACCTCCTAATATCTCTGTAATTTCATAAAATCTTCACTGTTATACTGTGCCTCGGTTTCACCCAAATATGTGCACTTCATATAGTTCTTTTTCAGAACATTAATGCACTGCTAGAAATGAAGAATTTTTCTTGCAAAGGACTGAAGAGAGATTTTATTTTAATCAAGCCTACTTATTTTATAGTGTTAACTGCATCTGCATAACTGAGGACAAAACATTTTGTTGAATGGATTCAAAAACTGTTAATGTATAACAGTTTGGACCTTGACTCAGGAGGACAGGGAGTGACGTGACCTCCTGGAATCTCAGATGAAGAGCCCTGATCTAAAATATGAAACATTTTTTGCTTTAACAGTTTTTTTTTTTTGCTTACTACATAATTCCATATGTTCATTTTGTAGTTCTGATGTCTAATCAACAATGTAGAAAATAGAAACAAAGAACACTGAATGAGCCCAAACCTTTGTACATACAGTATCAATTAGTGATGTCTCAACCAAGAACGAGCAGTGTGTGTGTGTGACAGAGAGAGAGAGACTGACTCAGTGTGTCCCTGGAAGACATTGACAGAGTGGATGGATGGGTCTCTGAAGTCCCACAGCCTGAAAGTAGTGTCTCTGGATGCAGTGACAACCAGCCGCTGGGTCGGGTGGGTACAGCAGTGGGTCAGCTCCTGGTCATGTCCTGCAAACATAGACACACAGAAAGCAAATAGTGGATAAACTGTGTGTGACTGCTGGAACGTGCACCTGCTGAAATTGTTGCAAAGAGCCGATTCCTGCATCTTCATCTCAAGTTCACTTTTTTGAGAACCGATGTTACTGCAGATGAACTAAAGTGTTTAGCTGTGTCAGTAATAGTTTAACTTGAGAATATATTTTGTTAGACCATGTTAAAATTAAAGCAGAATCTGCTAGTTGAAGAAAAGGCAACTTTTCGAAGAATTAGGTCATCGGTATTTTTGTCACTGAAGCAGACAAACAGGTATAAGGATAATGACCATATGAGCAAAATGCACATGGATATGTTTGCATATGTGGAAAGGCTCATACCACATTAACAAGGTTAGTGAATGGGACCTTGAAAATCAAGCTGAACAACGTACAGCAGTGTGAACCAGACAGCTGCAAGATATCCCATTAAACAAGCTCCACAGATCAGAACACTGTACCGAGAATAAAACTGTCTCCAAAATCGACTGAATTTTTTTTAATTTATTTATTCATTTCTTCATGTGAGCACTGGAATCATACTCAGCACGCCCAGGCACCCGACTCACAATGCACCCGACCCCAATTCCTATCGCTGCACGTGGTGGGAATATGGCTTTTATGTACAAACCCCAATTCCAATTAAGTTGGGACATTGTGTAAAACATAAATAAAAACAGAACACAATGACTTGCAAATCTTTTTTGACCCCTATTTAATTGAATACACCAAAAAGACAAGGTATTTAATGTTCAAACTGATAAACTTGAGTTTTTTTCCAAATATTCACTCATTTTGAATTTGATGCCTGCAACACAGTACTACTTGAACAGATTTGATAAGAGATTCACAAGTCATCTTCTGACCAGCAAGTTGGTGGTTCGACTCCCGGTCTCCCCGCATGCCTAGGTGTCCCTGAGCAAGACACTGAACCCCGAATTGCTCCCGGTGGCTTGACTAGCGCCGGTGCGTGGCAGCCTGTCGTCATCGGTGTGTGAACGGGTGAATGGTATATGATCTACTGTAAAGCGCTTTGGCCAGTGCAACACACTGTGAGAAAGTGCTATATAAAATACAGTCCATTTGATAAGTGGATTCAGAAGTGGACTCAGATTCTATAAAACCCTATTGTACTTAATCCCTAATCACTATTATGGTAATTTTAGAAAATTGCTGTAATCAAGCAGAAAAAAAATGCAATGGTTGGATATAATTGGCTATGTATTAAAAAAAACAGCTGAATTTCTGAATTTATTTGTCTTGCACTGCTGAACATAAGTATTTGAACACCTGAGAAAATCAGAGGTCAAACGTTTCCTGTAGTTCTTGACCAGGTTTGCACACACTGCAACAGGGATTTTGGACCACTCCTCCACACAGATCTCCTCTAGATCTGTCAGGTTTCGGGGCTGTCGCTGAGCAACGCAGAGTTTAAGCTCCCTCCAAAGATGTTCTATTGGATTGAGGTCTGGAGACTGGCTAGGCCACTACAGAACCTTGATATGCTTCTTACGGAGCCACTCCTTGGTTATCCTGGCTGTGTGCTTCGGGTCGTTGTCATGTTGGAAGACCCAGCCACGACCCATCTTCAATGCTCTGACTGAGGGAAGGAGGTTGTTGCTCAAAATCTCACAATAAATGGCCCCATTCATCCTCTCCTTAATACAGTGCAGACGTCCTGTCCCCTTCGCAGAAAAGCACCCCCAAAGCATGAGGTTACCACCCCCATGCTTCACAGTAGGGATGGTGTTCTTGGAATGCAACTCATCCTTCTTTTTCCTCCAAACACGAC